TATCACTCGCTCTCATGAGCAATTGGTAATACCCATCGACCAAGTCGAGTGCTCTGTATTTCGTACAGTCAACCATGTTGTTCTGGAGAACATACCTTCTAAGAATCGGCGTCTGTGCCGGAATGGTGGCAGCGTTGAGTTCATTGTAGGCGTGATCGATACGCCACTTGCCGTTCGGCTTCCTGGCACAAAACGTAGGTGTCGAATGGAGAGACTTGCTCTCACGCACCGAAGAAGGCGTCACTGACGTCACACTACTCCTTGGGCAAGGGCCATTGGCCTATTACGCAGTATTTGGCAGGTCAGGACTGACGGTGGGTCTTTGGAGATGACGTCTTGAAATTCCTTATACAATTGATGGTACGGATCTTAGGGATCCTGAAGGATCGACGATCCACTTCGTGCTCTTAGCACCCTCTTGGTGTCCTTCGGGACAGCTCATCTTGAAACAACGACGAGTTAGTGTCCCCACTCCCTGCTCAATCGTAGCACTGATATTATTAACAACGTCCGACATAGAGGTGCTATTTCCGCAGTCTTCCTCCAGTGGATAACGTGCCACTCCACGCGCATAAGAAGGACCTGGTCCAGGATGCCGCGGACCTCGTCCGACCATGCCAGTTTTGGCATGCAGCAACTTCTTCAAGACGTGAGCAGTGTTCAGTGAATTACGTGCCATTTCACGTGCATCACAAGGGCCTCGCCCTTTCTGCCTCGGACCTCATCCGATCATGCTACTCTTGGCATGCAGCAACTGCTTCGTAACCTGAGTGGTGCTCAGTGGGTCACGTTCCACCCCACGCGTATCACAAGTGCCTCGCCCTTGATGCCTCGGACTTCGCCCGATCATGCCGCTCTTGGCATGCAGCAACGGCTTCGTAACGTAAGCAGTGACGTGCCACGCTACGTGCCTCACAAGGACTCGCCCTTGATCCCACGGTCCATGGCCTACCATGCCACTCCTGGCATGCAGAGACTGCTCCAATAGTTGAACAGCGCTCAGTACGTTACGTGCCACTACACTTTCCGTCTGCGAGCCACGCTCGGGACTCATGTCCAAAACACCTTTGGTATTTGACAGTTCGGATACTCCGATATCTAGCACATTTTTCCTACCGTCCCGGTTGAGTGCCCGCGCCAATAGCGCTTCTGCTTCCTAGCATAGGTGGGTTCATACGTGTTCGTAGCGCCCAAGGCCTTCGACCTACAATCAATCCATGGCTCGTGGTGTTTCAACCATGCCATACCAAGGATAAGGTCAAGCCTTGCATCAAAGTCTAAGATTAGGAAGCGTTTTACGCTATCAAAGGCAAGAAATCTGACACCGACGTCCACAGGGACCCTCGGAGCAGTGACACAAGTCCCCGTCCCTAAACGAACAGTGATAGTATCACTTAACCGCGCTTCCAGCTCCTCAGCTTACAGCTGACTTCTTGGAGCGTCAAGCATAATTATCCGACGCCCCGGGTCGATCAAGATCTTCCATGACTTCTCAGAGCCCTTCACGGTCGCTTTTACAACCAGCAAGCCCGGCTTGCATACACGTTCCGTGTTTAAGAGCACGCAGATCTTCGAGGCTGGGCCCTGCTCCCCTCGACCTCTTTTGGGGCACAACAGAACTCAGTTCTCCTCCAGTAGGGCACCCTGCGCCTACTGTGTTTTCTCGATCACCCGGAACAAATCAGACTGGTTAGAAACGAGACTTCGGTTCGACGAACCTTTACGCACCTTGGACGGGGGACAACCAGTCCGAAGGTGACGGGTGTCTCCTCAGATAAAACACTGTCGGGCGTTTAAACGCTGCTCGGTAGCTTGGGACTCTTGAGATCCATTGGCCCAGGCCCGCTCGACGAGCTCTGAGCGTGTGTATTCCAGCCAAGTCAACCCGTCTTGAAGTCGAATTCGGCATTCAATGCCATGCCTAACGCTTTTTCAAACGAAGACGGATGCACACGGAAGACTTCTGGCCACGCCAGTGCGGAGGCCCTTCATCATAAAGACGCTCACTGCAATTGCCTCGGGGGGAAATCTGCTGCCACCCCGACGATGATAATTTTCAATTCTTGGACAAAGTCCACCAACTTCTTGCCTTGTCGGGCGGCAAGATATCGTGATCGCATGCGATATGCTTGGTCAGGCAGCGAGAGCACTCGTACAGCTGACGCTTTAGCTCCTCATAGGAGGGAAACGCAGCTTCAACCGAAGCACCGCGCGTTACTGTCCATTCTCGCGCTCGGCCCCTGAGCCTGAAGATAGCTAGCACCTCGCGCTGTTGCTCGTTTTGGAGCAAGGTGGATGCCATAATTATCTCGGCCTCTCTCATTCAGAGTAGGAGATTTTCTCCATCCTTATCCTCGAAAGTCTTAACGCTCACCATAAGCGGCCTGGTCGGAAACATCCGTCGTCGACGGTGGCGTCATGGACGCAATCGACGCTGACAGCTTCTGCTGTAAGTGCTCCAACAGAGCTTTTTCATAAATTGAGGTCGCGCGCTTATCGCCTCGGGACCTTGCGCAACAAGGTGCTTCACGCCCTCAGGGCCCAGCAGGGACATCAGCTTATTATGCCCGCCCTGCACTTCCTGGGCACATAGCAGTACTCCTCCCCCCTCACAAAGGATCAGCTGTAACTACTCAGTCGTAAATTGACTACGAGTGCAACCAAATGCAGCGGGGCTGCCGTAGCTCTTTGGTTAGAGTAAGCTAAGCCAAGATCACCGACCTTACGTTCTATACTAGTACCAGTACGAGTGTAGTAAATCACAATTCGCTGCCTCCAAGAGTACTCAAAACCTCAGGTCATGGCAAATATACTGTTTCGTTCAAAATGCATACTATATTTGTGGCAAAGCCGCCTATATCTAAATATAAATATCTCCTAAGTTAATAGTAAAACCTAATCTAAATGCATAACTACTGGCAGTCCCGCCACGTAGTGGCTTCTTGTTAACTTTAGCTACACCATCTTGTGGTTATACCATCTTGTGTGACCCACCCCTTTATACGAGGGTACGTGTAACCCCGTTTTAAAGGTGGTTCGTAAATTTTGGTACTACTTCTCTCTGATTGATCTCAAACATGATGATGCGATCATGCCCAATAACATATGCTTAGACAATAACACAGCACGTGTGAAAGTTAAAGGGCCGGAATCTGAGAACTCGTGCAAATTTCGTTCACCACCCTGAAGCTGCCTCTTTGCTACACCCGGACTATTTGACAATCTTACAGAGATGAGTGGACAATCGTGTTATATTGGAATGATTTGCTCCATATTTGTGAAGATAGTTCGTCTAGCTGTATCATTTCTCCAAATTGCTTTTGGACAAAGGCAATAGCCACCCTCCGCATATCATAACTCAAGATGTTGCCTCCCCGAAAGGAGATCTCACCGGCGCCAAAACACACTAATCTATGTTGCTACAGAGCTTGTCTGATTGCATACACTCGAGAACTACTTGCAATTCATTCATGTGGTTTGCCACATCCGATTTTTCATGCACTCCACCACAATGGACTGATGATATATCGTCGATGCAGGTTTGTGCATAACACAATGTGACCTAATCAGCCGCATCACCGGACGGCTGTGGCATAGCCAGCCATTCTAAGAGCTTTTAAAGTACTCGTTGGATGTCTATTGTGATCAGACGACACAATTCATTCGCCATATCAAGAGCACTGAGCAAGGCGGAACCGACACTGCCGTTCTACCGCTATCGTTTTTAAGATTCAGCGTTTGCGCTAGAAATGTGACAGCAATCAAATCAGTCCATTCTCTCGTTGGATTTGATTAATTGCCTTAAGTTTATATGACAGGTGAAAAATCGATTTGGACAGCCGGAGCAAGTTTACACATGATCAAACTGCAGACGATATATTAAGAGTATTGAGGTTCAGATTTTGTTCTCAACGTACCACCAAGGCTTGCTGGATTGGACAGCGCAAGGAATCCTCATAAAACCTCTGCTGCAGGACAACTTGTTCACTCTTTAAAAATTGAAATTCCCCAATTTTGGTGGTTTGTACAAATTTTCTACCTTCTCGTGCAGAAATGACAGCATGCATATCTGGAGAGAAAATATTTGGTATCAACCGTGTCTACATCCATATACTCCCCGACGTAATGAGACCCTAAAGATTATTCATGAAAGGCGTTCTGAATGATCTGCACTAAAGAAAACTCAAGCTGAGACAATTAAGATTAAACAAATTTTCAGTCTTGGCGTTTGACACTAAAGCTTACGTTTTACCCTTCTTCTGGATGTTAGCATACGCGGTCTCGCATTGTCTTGTTGATCACTGATATCGTTTTGGTAAGTTCAGGTACACATCCCGATCCACATTCTCAGTGCTTTGAGTAAAAATGGCTTCATTGGCTTTGTTACTGCTCGTCCTTCAGCCGAACACTCTTTCGTAAAAAGCTAGACATATGCATGACCGTCCTTATGACGTTTATTGCGGGATAACTCGTAATACATAACATACGGGTCATAGAATGACTATATCATAGCTTTATGACGACTTACTCTGGATAAGAGGATACGGCCAGAAGTGTTGTCTACGATATGAATGACTCTCTTTCTGAGGCCCGTGGCGACTTTTCCTCACCACCACCTATAAGCTATCACCGCATGTTGCGGTGTGTAGATCACGACTTATCATCGACATGGAATATTGTGCATCGACTTAAACTGCGACACAGTTTTGTCGATGATTAACTAGGCATGCTAAACACGCTGTAATGAGTCTCACTTTTTTATTTCGTCTTGATATACGTCGTTCGCGCAAAACATGCCTTTTCCAACTAAATGCGATACTAAGTGCCTTAGCACCTCTGCTGCTGTTTTATCGCGTCTTCCAACAGCTGGTGTACCACTTTGCAGTTTATTGCTTCCTACCGGACTTCTCTTTACTTCGACTGGCCCATTTCAGTCCAACGATGCTTAGCAGTGTATTGCCTTCATAAAGTACTCACAGGAGTGTGATTGGGACCAACACGGCAACCGATTTTGGCGTAGACCTTCGAGGTTGTTCTCTAGTGTTAATGGTACATTTGCGCTCAATATTTAACACTTGAGCTGTACATCGTATTGGAGTAAGTTGTGCCGTAGATTCGTTTTGGTGGGTATCCTTCGCCAAGAACCTGGTAGCTGTACCACAAAAAAGTATGGTGGCGACAGCTAGCTGTCCGTTTCAAACCAAACGAGAGACTGTAAGAAACGGAGATATACGTGTACCTATGTCTCCGTTTCTTACAGTCTCTTTTGATCCAAATGGCTGTTAGTTGCAAATTTTTTATCAAAACTTCTATCTCTGGCAGCTAAATTACTAACCCGGACAATTAGCCTCTTTTTGACGCAGAGAGTCGAAGTCAAGTGAGGATATTCTCTCTCACGAACCATACCGCTCCGTAATTTTTAATAAGAATCACTGACAGCTATACAAATTTTGGATTTTAGGAAGTATGTCAATATCTAAATGCACTCCCCGGTCCGAAAGGAACATCCCTGACGACTTTTACCACGTGTTGACACGTTTTTTACAAGCGTAGAATCCTTAAGATTATCCGTGCACTTAGTACAAATTCTTTCATAACGGAAGATACTAACCATTCCAGTTCAAGAACTAAACCTTCTTGCAGCTGTTGGCAAATATCCTTTATAATAAATCATTGAGCTTGATGAGTGGTCTGAATGTGTAATGATGAGAGACATACAATTCAAAGTTTCCCTCAATCAATGTATTTACAAAGAGATGGCTTTCTCCATCATCAAACCCCAAAGACTCGTTTACTCGCATGGTGGGCGCGCTGCACGTTAGGGCTGACTCAGCCATAGCATAATATGGGCTTTTCTAAAAACGTTGACGTTCTAGTTACAACATCCGGTCGTCTGCTCATACACACCGGCCTTATTTGAGAGGACTACGGCGCGGAGCCGCTCAAACTTGTCTCTTATACCTATTGCTCAGGAGACCCTGACGCCCGGTATGGATCACTTACGTATACAATCGCTACTGTCCGTCTAATTTTGATACCGTGTCTCATCGCCAAACTTTCTTCCCGAGATTTGATCAGTGCACTCGGCAACAATTCTACTTGTCAACTGAATCAGTCGCATAAACTGCATGAGAGCTATCGCAGCCTAATGTGCTGGTACCGAAATCACTTTTGTCATTGGGAGAGATGATTGGTGTCCTAATAAAGCTTCACTAAGTGTGACGTGCGCGGCGCTCATATCTTTGACTTCCAGATGCCCATATCCCATGACGCCCCAGCAGTAGATCCTGGCAGATGTGTCTACTTTTGAAAAGGTTGCTTGAGCAGTAGATAGCAAAATTCAAAGTAAATATACTTAGGTCCTTAGTTCGCAATTATTAGTTACTCTAAGCCTATTTATTGAAGCTTCTTGTTCTTCAAGGCTCGCTAACTGCTTCCGCCGATCAGAGCTTCGCATCCCATCCCGACTTGGATCATCCCATCCCAACTTGTATCATACAATCAGATGAAACGCTTTCTTTGGATTTGCTGTCACCATGTGCAGAAACACATGATGCAACATCATTCCTTACCTAAAGCAACCGGTAATTACTGGTTCTCGTCACGTAGTCGAGGCGCATTCTTGACAACACTCCCACTCGACTCGACTGCTTTTGGTGCTTGAATGCCAAGTCTTTCTTGACGCAGACAGAACTGAGTTGCGGGAATTGGCTTGGTCATGATGTCAGCCAGCATGTTGAGAGTCGAGATGTATTCCAATGCTACTTCGCCGTCTTCAACTTTGTCGCATACAAAATGATATCGTATACAATGTGTTCTGCCCGCTTGTGAGACTCAGGATTTTTAGCAAGCGCAATTGACCCTTGAAAGTCCTCGTAGATCTTGACAGCATCACTTTGTTTCATCTCACCGAATACACCTAGGAACATCTTGAGCCATACTGCTTCTTGAGCCGCTTCTGAAAGTGCCATGTACTCGGCTTCGGTCGACGAAAAAGCCACTGTGCGCTGTTTCTTGCTTCTCCAGCTTATCGTACCGCCGCTCTTCATAAATACGTAGCCACTTCCAAAAATCCGTCCGTCTGACATGAATGTGGACGATATTGAATTTGACGAACTGACCATCAACAGTGATAAGGCGTTGCTCGAGCGCGAGCTGGCAGATATGGACGGATTTTGATGTGCTTCTTTTTGACTCGACATCACCAGTCCAATCCGCATCTGAAATTCCACAAGTTCATGTAAGCCATCGGCTTGAAACGCTATGCCAAAAGTCCTTGTGCCATTAATGTATCGAACTCGCTTTAAAGCTTGCCAATTCGTTGGGCATGGATCAGCTGCAAATTGACTAAGCGCTCCCACCGCAGCTGCCAGATCTTGGCGTGTGCCCACCATCAAATTCATTAGGCATCCAACGGCATTGCGGTATGGCACGTTAATCATGGTCTATTTATAATTACAACTGCCATCACGCATAGCCTTGGTAAGCTTGAGACCCGAATCTTGAGGTGTCTTTGCAGAATTGCTGTGTTCCATCTTGAACTTATTCAAAACATCGTTCGCAAATTTGGTTTGCCGCATTGTGACCGTCCCAGCTTCCGTGTCTTGACTTATCTCTATTCCAAGAAAACACTTTAGCTGACCCATGTCAGTCATTTCAAAGCGATTTCTGAGCGCTTGCTTGGTGTCTTGATGCATCTTTACATTGCTGCTTGCAATGATAAGGTGGTCAACCAATACCGCAACAAAATTCATTTCTTGACCGGTGCGTTTGATGTAGACACAGTGGTCTGATTCGCACTTCGTGAATTCAAGAAGCTGCATGAATTGTCGACAGTCTTGCTCCACATGCGAGGCAATTGCTTCAATCCATACAGCGATCTTTTAAGCTTGCACACGTAGTCAGGTCGAGATTCATCGATATATCCGTCAGGTTGAACCGTAAAATGTCCTCTTCGAGCACTCCATTTAGAAAAGCAGACTTGACGTCCATTTGATGCACCGTCAGGTTGTACTTTGCGCTCAAACTGAGCAAGACTCTGATCGACGTAAACTTTGCCACAGATGCAAAAGTTTCTTTGTAGTCGATGCCGTATCTCTGTGCAAAACCCTTGACCACCAAACGCGCCTTGAAACGCTCGATTTCACCTTTTTGATTCTCGTTCACGCAAAAAACATATGTTGCCAATTGCTTTCCGCCCATGCGTTAGTGGTTCTAGCTACCAGGTCTTGTTCCTTCGGAGTGACTCTATTTCTGAGTTGCATGTCTCACGCCACTCAACTGCTTCAATTGATTCCATAGCCGACTTAGACGAGTCGACCGGCCATACACAGCTTGATTTGGTGACGCACTTAGTTCCACCAACCGAAAACAGGTAATCAGCCGAGTAATCCTCGCTCTGGGCAACATTTGCACGCTGCGATCTTTGACGCTCTGTGTTTTCACGAATGCGAGCTGGACACTTTGCAATCCAATGTCCAAGCTCACCACAGTAATGACAAGTACTTGATGCTTTCGCTGAAGCAGTACGGTCTTTGCGTCGTCCGCTGTCCGTCATCGCAAACGCTTGCTCTTGACCAGGTGCAACACCATCAATACTCTCACCTTGTTTCTTGCCTTTCGTGTCTTCGTGCAGCAGCCGAGACATCACAAGCTGTCACGACAATGAGTCCGACCTTGACTCCAAAGCTATGATGAGAAACGCGGACGACTCACTGAGACTTCCGATAAGCGTGATAACCAAGTCATCTTCAGTTACGGGATGCGCCTGCCCACCGCATCGAGCTGTCCTGCCAAAGTTTTCATCCCGTTGATGTGCGTGAGCACATCATCACCTTCGTCCATTTTGGCTGTGAAGAAACGACGACGAAGAAATAGCTTATTTGCCATGCTCTTCTTTTAGAAATGGCCTTCCAGCCGCGACCATACATCTTAAGCGTCCTTGGCCGAGCGAACCAGCGGCAGCTGCAAATTCTCCATCGCAAGACAGATGATCGCCAGTGCCTTCCGAACCTTGCGCTTAAAGGTTGACTGCTCCAGCGCGCTACTCAGCTGCTCAGGCTTGATTATCCCACTCGCAACCTCCCATAGGTCGCGCTCCTCCAGCACCATCCGCAACTTAAATTTTCAGGTATGAAAGTTTGTTCCGTCGAACTTGTTGAAACAACTTGGCGTAAAGTCCATGGTGGCAGCAGGCAGTGTCGAAGGAGGGGGAGAAGAAAGAAGAGTCTGCGGGGCTCGGGCTCATAACCTGTTGAGAAGGTTGCTTGAGCAGTAGATAGCAAAATGCAAAGTAAATACATCTAGGTCCTTAGTTCGCAATTAATTAGCTACTCTAAGACTATTTCTTGAAGCTTCTTCTTCTCTAAGGCTCGCTTACAGCTTCCGCCAATCAGAGCTTCGCATCCCATCCCGACTTGGATCATCCCATCCCAACTTGTATCATGCAATCAGATGAAATGCTTTATTTGGATGTGCTGTCACCATATACAGAAACACATGATGCAACATCATTCCTTACCTGAAGCAACCGGTAATTATAGGCTCTCGTCATGTAGCCGACGCGCTTTCTTGACAACATTTACATCAACAATCTCAACAATCTCACTTTGTCACGGTGAGACATTCAGCTGACCCCGCAGAGTACCCATTCAAGGGTCACACGTTTGCGGTAAGAGTGACAAATATAGATGAAAGGAGATGTAGTCATTCATAACCTCGGATATAATCTCTTGTAGTGCTAATGGAATGAACCGTAAAAATGCAGGCCAGAGAAATTGCGATTGTGATGTCACCGTCTGATACAAATGAAGTCATCCGTCGAATATATACTTGTAGTAATGAGAATACCGAGGAAATTTGAGCTTATTATCGTTATAAATGAGTCGTTGAACAAAATGCACAAATGTTGTAGGAGGATCAGGTATTTTAATGAATCCCTCAAGTTGCTTTGAACTAAAAAATACCACTTTGTGCTTAAAAGACCCGCTATGTGTTACTTCTGGATCTGCAACCAAATCAAGAGATACACGCCAAGGGCCCTTACAAAAATTACAGTGATGTCATTGAAGAACATTCGAGTGCGAAGCAGAAAACAGATTTGGCGAGCCAAGATTCGAGTGCACCGAAAATTTTAGGAAGGGCCTGAAGGTGAAGGATGTACCCTGCCTTTTATATGTGAAGTGAAGACACGAAAGTTAGCAGATTTCCTCTCACACTACAAGCAGGATGACTATGAACATGTGCTGTCTAACGTGCCAGCGAAGTTCAACCGACTAGAACCCATTATTCATTCTCATAGACCTATCTATGCGATATGATAGATCATTGTTGTGATGAGATCATAATGTATAGTGTTGAGTGTACACACTACAACACAAGCTCTATGCCTTCACTAACTGGGAGCTTATCAAGTCAAAGCTGTTTTATGCAACGGGATGGAAACCTTGCTGTACTTGGCAGAAAAATTCGTCAACCTGGTTCTTTATTCATACTTACTCAAATATGTTATGTACATGTATCTCGCTTCACACCGAAAGAACCACTTTTGAATGTTGCTCAAAACTTCAATGTATCATTTACTCGAGTATGGCGACCGCAGTTCCGACTTTGAACTTTGACTTCACATACATCACGAATGACAACAAGCGCGTATTCTTTCGTCACCACAAAGCCAACGGCGTCCAGCGGTCCTGAATTTTGCGAGTAATGGAGTTGTTGCCATGGAGGACGTTCACTTGAGTATTGACGCCGAAATTGGCTGTAGCGATATCGTATCTCAAAATTTGCGTCATATGGGAACCTCCACTTGAAGTACTTCACACCAAAGTTTACGCAGCCATTTCACTATGGCGTGAAAACCAAGATCGCCAAGTGACAGGAGAGTTGAGTCTATGTGGCTGCATTCGCGGCACGGTATGGTTTGAAAATTATTTCACAGCTTTGGGTAAATGCCTTTTTTATCAGCAAAACGCATATGAACGAGCCTCCCTTCTTCCCTGTATGCCAAAAAATTCTTTCGAAAACAGCCCAAGCACAGGCAATCAGAATGGTTTGACAGGTGTGATCAGAAAGAAAGCTACGACCAAGTAATTGTATGATTTGAAGAATTGTAAGGTGCTGAATAAAAATAAAAGGAAGCAAGCACTATCAATGGAGCCTATGGATTCAGATGTTTTGACGGAAAAGTTCGGTATTACGATTAAAGTGATGAAATTGGATAAACAAACGAATCAACCTTTAAGATTTAAGGGTGTCAGCTTGTCGGTCAAGCGGAGGTAGACATTCAATGGACCAGTGACACAACAGGTTGAAGATGCAGTGACAGTTTCGCAGGCGAGTGGATTTAAAGCTGAGAGCAAATCACAATAAAGGCAGAAAACCGTCAGCTACAAGCAACTCTTTCACAACCAGAAGCGGCAAGTCTATTCTTACTAGTCATAATGACGACCTGGCAGGAGAGAGGTGCGGCATCACAACAAATCTTCGCTTTCTTAACCTAGTTGGTTAGAGCTTCAGTCTGGACTTAGGTCGTGTAAGGTTTGCGGTTGCGCGGACCCCGATCACAGAAACATTGCTGTGACTGCCGAGATCCAAGAAGCTTCAAAAAATCATCATGTGAAAACTCGTCGACCATGGACGTGACATAAACTCAAAACAGCTACAAATGATGGAAGTGGTTTACCAAATAAAACGAGAAAGCGTGCACGCCCTGGTGCGCTCAATGATAGTTTGACATCTCGAGTTGTCAAGATAAAGCGACAAGATGGCCTACGTGAGGCCTCCTGTGACAAAAGAACAGTGGCAACTTCGAGTTCGGTTTCTGGATTTAACAACTCGACCTCGATTGCGGTAGCGAAGCTTTCCAATACAAGGAGAAAGTCACCGCAAAATATCTCTCGCAATGTATCCGAGGGAATTCCATAATCGTTAGACTTCAAGTTGTGCCACACCAGGTTCAGCACTGCGAAGGGATGAGACCGACGGATAAGCGCCAAAGTAAAGGCCGCGACGTATCTTTCAGATATCTACCCCAGACTACTTCAAGTACATGATAACCAGTTGGCAAGCTCATCTGATAAGCGTGAAGCAGGTTCATCAGCAGCGCAACAATTTGGACAGCAATTACAATGGCAACGATTAGAGCAACGACCTCTATAGTTGAATCAATCGACGAACCGCTTAGCACAGTAGCTCTTGAAGCGAATTACATTTTTTTTCTATGCGTGTAAGAGTTTGGACTTTTTTGTCGTTGTAAACCTTCCAAACTGTAAATCAAATCATAAAATTGTTTTTTGAGCGATCTAATATCAGCGAATCAAAATAATCGGCAATTGTAAAATATTTCAAATTGCATAATTGAAATATTTTATCAATCCATGCAAATGGAAATATTCTATGCATCCTTGAATTTGTTTAAAATTTACTTCTACAGTGCGACGCTGTGTTGCCTTTGTAGCTACTCTCCAGTCGTTTGCTTTACAACACTCGACAAGTCGATGGCATGCTTTACCATCCAGCCGTCACTTTTCGCAAGTGTCATTTGATTTTATTGACGGCGAGGGAAAGCGCACAACGGTAAAAGCAAACGTTGGTGAGACACTGCTGGACGTGACCCAAGAGAATGACTTGGAGCTCGAGGGTGCGTGTGGTGCAGAATTAGCGTGTTCTACATGCCATTTGGTATTCGAAAAGCGGATTTTTGATGAGCTGCCAACATTAAGTGAGGAATAAGAGGATATGTTAGATCTAGCGTGGGGGCTCACAGACACGAACGTTGAACGCATCAAGATATCACACACATGTTTGAATCTTTGGATGCATTGATCTCTTGACCGTTTTTTCATTGTATGTATGCACAGTACAATCTAAGGTAGATTATAATGTAATTTTGTCTAATTACTAGCTCAGACAATCTTTTAGTGAATCGTACGACTTCATACGCTAAAGCTGCTTCGCGACTGAGCTCAACTTCGTCACTTTCTGCAACAATAAATTGCATTCATGCTTGCAGCTTGTCAGCACGCCGAAACAGATTGTCAACGATGTTGCCAACGTTGTCAATGACTCCAAGACCTGATGCGTACGTTTTCTAAACAAAGCAGCACACAATTAAATTAGAATTTACTCTTGACACGTGCTAGCAAAGACACTACATACGTCTTCAGAGGGATTGTCATAAACGATAAGCTGTCCCTTGCCCTGGTCCAAAATGCCGTGAAATTTGTGATCTAAAATCATTTGCGACAACCTAAGGAAAATACACGATAAGCGCGGCTCACCAATTAAGTTCTACGAATTAAAGCATGCGTTCTTACTTGAGCTCGATTTGAGATAGCGGAAGCTTGATTAGCTTGGCGACGTGTGCGATTTCGACACATGAAAAGGGTTGAATAATCTTAATCAAATTACTTTCCAAAAGCTGTTCGTATAGCTTTCCGAGATGATTCTTGATCAGTGGGTCCTCCACGAGCTCTGACAAAAATATACCAAAGTTAAATTACATTTCCACTATCATGCTTAATGATTATACGTACGGGGGGCGTATTTCGTTGTTGCTGCTTCAAATTGCTCCAAAGATCGCTGCTCGTGCGCCTTGGCGACCGCTTGCATTGCTTCTAGCTCAATGCCAATAAACTTCATCGCTTGTTTGCTATTAATAATAAGATTCACTTCACTAGCGCCATCGCTAGCAATTTTAGCGAGCAGCATGTATTTGAGACACTTCAATCCCTCTTCTTCATCAAGAGTCGCGAGAGCCTCAAATGCCTCAAAAAAGTACGAATATGCCGTCTTATAATCACGCTCTTCAGCGTGTAAGATGCCGGACATTTGGTCAATTTGCGCCTGCGTTCGCGGCACCACGTAAATGGTATTCGATATACTGCGTGCTGCTGTGAGCGCAGCTTTTGCTTTGGGTACATTGCGCAGCACATGGTGCAATTTGCTCTCGACAAGGTGAATGTCCACCAATAGCTGCTTGTCATCCAGCTTCTTGATCTCGTGCAAAAGCTCCGTGATAAGATTTAAAGCGGGTTGAAATTTGTGCAGTTGAAAGTAAATAGAAGCGAGACGTGCTTCAATGCGCTGGCGTAAAAATGTATGTTTCTCTTGCTTGCACCACTCGATCGAGTCGAGACATAAGTCGGCCTGTAGCTGAAGAGCCTTCTCGACATCCAGCACCTTGACTTTAGCCACCATGTCGATTACGGTGCGTACTATCATATGTGAAAATATTATCAGCATCTTTCATTGCTCATCTATTGTTAATCGTACCGATCTTGCCAGTCTTGGCGCGAGGTAATGTGGCGAAGAAGGGCCGCAGCGCCTGTAGCAATGACGCAAGCTCCTTCTCACGTCCATACTGGATATACAACTGCGCCAACTTATAAATTGAGTGTTCTTTCAAACGGTGCACTTGTTCCAGATTTGCATCTTCCGCAGCTGCCAGTAAATAGCGATCAATAACAATGAATCCTTTTGAAAACTGTAGTTATTTGTCGCACCGTAAGAGATGATGCTCTGAAAGGCTTGAATAGCTACATCGGGTGAAGCACTATGCGAAAGTGCTGCTACAATATCCTCAGCTTCCTCAAACTGTGTTTGAAGTGGGTGAATCTCTTGAGGCTCTGCCATCTCAATGTCTTGCATTGTCGTCATGCTTTTTTAGCTTTATAAGCTTCTCCCTTTCGAATCTTACGTGGTCTACACGACACGTTAGAAGAAATAAAAAGATACCACCATGCTTCCCTCCTTTTATGGCCGTCGCTTGCTCTCTTCATCTTTACTGCGCTCATCTACTCCTTTGCGTTGTCTAAGCTCTGCTCCCAAAGAATTGTCGCTTTACCAGAAGCTCCAGAAATGGTTACAACCATTTTTAGCCGGCTCTAAAGGTTTATATCTCGAGAATAAGGAAGCATGGGCATTGCGCCGCCGTATCAAGGAGTCCAAGGGACAAGCGCAGCTTACACGGCGAGAAATGCTTCTCTTACGTCAGGCACATCTTGACCTTTTAAAGTCATTACCAATTTTAGCGTTCTTCTGCGTACCAGTGTTGGGCTACGCGGCGCCATTGCTAGGATACCAATTCCCTAAACAGCTGCTGCCATGGCAATTCTGGCGTCCTGACCAGAGAACGCAATTCTTTCAAGAGGACGTACAGACTAGAGCCAAGACGTATCCTGAACTAGTCCAACTATTACAACAGATTCAGCACAAGGATGACACATTACAAGAGATGCTAGCGATGGCAAAGAAGGCTGGCAGTGATGGCCTACATCCGACGCAAGTGACTGAGCTGACACCCTTTTTTGAAGGTCCTGCAGCTTTGAGCGCACTTTCAAGCAAGCATGTTCATGTGTTAGCCGAAGGCTCAGCACTTTTTCCGAGCTTTGCTGTGCTCAACAAGTTGCTGATGCGAACACAATTAGTGAAGAGACTCGAGTGGAGAATGGAAGCACTAAGTGTGGATGACCAGCAGTTGCTAACGAGTGGATTGGACGACTTGTCACTAAGTGAACTTGAGTTTGCGTGTCACGAAAGAGGAATTATCACACAATACGGTGAGATTGAGATGCTGCGAAATGCACTCAAGGAATGGCTTCGTATGTACGATACTGACCACTTTGATCCCAATACGAATCCACAAAGATTGCCCTCGTCGCTGATGCTTCATGCTCCTGCTCTCTCCAAATTTTCCAAGTCTACAGAAGACTTTATTGTGTAAATCAAAGCGATTTTTGCGTTAAATAAATGATGTTTGATGCACTTTATTACGGTATACTTTAAGTAAGTCTATATAAAGTCAGAAAATTCAAAACAGACTGAATATCTAACTGACGACACAAAGCTTTTGGGAGCATGCTCAGTACCTTAGTGACTACGACAGCATCGAGTGGGTACGTATCCTTCTCCCTTTTATATATTTATCGAACTTGTGTCTTGAAGAGCTAAACTGGCTGTCTATTATTTTATGTAGCGGTATGATGTTGCCTGTTGCTGCATTGATCGCATCCTTTGCCTTGCTGATTGTCAAAGGCATCGTGAACTCTCGAGGAAATAAAAGAAAACGCATTGTGTCTGGTAAATCAGATCTTAATGAGTTTATGATCGAAGTGAGTGTATTATTTATATGAAATGAATATGATACTCTTAGCTAACGTTATGTTCCATTAACAGGCGTTACAGCCTCTACTAGATCGATACACACCAACCTGGTGGACAAATTCGCATATTCAATGTATCTTGACCTTTTTAGTGCCTCAAAGCTTTGTCAAATATAAAAGAGATATCCTTATACTCAAAGATGGTGGCCAGGCTTCTCTTGACTGGGCATTAGAATCTTCGGTTAAGATGAAAAGTCCCCTGCAAAACGATTCCCCCATTGCTATTATCATGCATGGACTCGTTGGTTGCAGTGAGAGCATGCGATCTCTTTGCGCTGAGGCCCTTATCCATGGGTATCGCCCCGTTGTGTTCAACAAACGTGGCCATGGAGGATTAAAACTCGCTACTCCAAAGCTACAGGCTTTTGGGTGTGTGCAAGATCTGGAAGAAGCCATTGCATATGTGGAAAAGTTATATCCGAAGAGTGAACTGTATGGTATCGGCAGTTCAGCAGGATCAGGCTTACTGTGCAGTTACCTGTGTGAACTCGGTAATAAGTCCCACCTTCGTGCTGGAGTGTTGATTTCGCCTGGCTACAACGCCTTCGATCTTTTTTGTGGTGGCAAAATCAACCCCGTGTACGATTTTCTCATGACATTGACTCTCAAGTCGTTTCTACTTCGTCATAAGAACGAACTAAATGAAGTGGTCAATGTGACAGAAGCCTTGAAAGCGAAAAGCATTCGCGAATTTGATGAGCATGTGTACATGAAAATGCATGGTTATCAAGACTTGGAGGCGTACTGGAAGGTGAACAATCCGATGCGAGATGTGGACAACCTCAAGATGCCATTTCTCTGCATTAACGCTCTGGATGATCCGGTTTGCACCAAGGAAACGATTCCGTATGACGAATTTCGAAAGAAATCGAACGCCATGCTTTTGGAAACACCTCAGGGTAGCCACTGTGCTTTTTTTGAAGGTACAGTTCAGCTCAAATCATGGTGTAATGAAGTTGCGATGACGTATCTCGATCGTCTACGTGAATTTCAAGCTACCGCTGATATTGTAAATCATGAAAGGCCATCAAGTGCTCTGACATCACAATAAATGCGTCGGGATCGTTTTTACTCTGTTCTAGATTTAAGCCAGCACACAAAAATTTATCCTAAAAGTTAACATGAATTCTCAATTCTCATACTTTACGCTTACGGCTATTTTTCTAAATGTGAAAATGAAGTGGGGCACACTGCACTCCACCTCTTGAGCAACAAATATTATAAATAGTGTGTATATTTTAGGAAACACAAGCAAAAAAATGTCAATCTAAACCACTTAAATATATATATGACGAACAAAGATGGCATGGGCAGTGGCTAAGCTCTCGTGTCGCGCAGTGCTTGACTTCAAAAATTTAGTCAATCTGATGACGTGTACTCTGATCTGGGGGCAACAGCATCAAACCGTAATTTTTTTTTAACAAGATAACTTTTTGATTTTCTAGGACCTGATTCGATTATGGCACTTAGTGCTTTATGGGTATCCTTATGACAGCCATATCCATGACGAATGATTCACCAGATCCATTTAGGTCCAATCATTTGACTCGATGATATGTTCTACGTGCAATTTCTTGCATGTATCTTTAAAATGATTCACTGAATGTCACAAACGTGGCCTCAATTCCACTTGCTCTTTCGTGCCCCTGCTTAAGTCGTGTTGATTATTTGTCGCACTTTAGTCTTCCATTTATCACATTTGTCTGTCTTAAAGTCCCACATGTCGACTACCCCACACTTACATCCTTGAACCACCAACACCTTCGGGAGCAAGCTCGCTGCCGTCGTGCTTGATTTCATATACTCATAATCTTCTAAGTCAGCATTCTACATAACACATAATGATTGCGACGTCATTGCAGATGTCACATATGCATATGGGAACACCATATTAATATTCCCACAATGCACGTCGATGGTACATGTACATGGTACATGTATGTAAGTGAGGTACATGTATGTACCTCACTATAATGGCTAGGTGTAGCCCATTGAGCCATATCTTTGAAATATACCTTGACTGTGCTTAACTCTATCATAGTAGCAAAGGGTGTGAGGGATCATACCGTATGTTTGGTCAATTTACTAGGCTTGACTAAAGTTGTATCACTCAATTG